ATTTCGAATAGTTAGATTAAGCCAAATGTCATTCATTGGTTAACTTTCTTTCCAGCAGGGTTTATCATAAATTTCTACATAATTGTTATTCATGTGTTTACACGTTGTTGGAATTTAATTTGGAACTTCTGCTGGCTGAGCGTGTGTGCGATATTATCGGTATTTTGGTGTGACATTGCCGTGTTTGTTCTAATTGTTTAGCCATCTAAGAAGTCCATGTGTTCGCATTCTTGGATAGCCATTTGTTGTGATGCTAAAACGTGACTTTATGAATGTACATATGTATGTATTTGTGCTATGTATTATTAATTGTAAGCTTACAAATCTTTATTGAAGCTTCTATACCAAAATTATGTGATTTGGGTATCAATGTTGTTTAATTTATTCTTACATATTGCCAAAGTCTAGAGGCAAAGTTATGATTTTAGCCCAGTCAATCTGCTTCTATTTTTGAGTGTACCCGTAAAGAATTCCGCACAGCATAAAAAAGGTACCATGCTGTTATGGAAAATATTTTAATCAAAATAAGAAAAAGTCATATCTCGAAATTAGATAGGAAATATTTTTATTCGATTAAAAAGTAGCATCGCTGCTATTATAACTCATCCACAAATGGACAAATGTAGAAAAATACAAGTGGTCGTAATTTTTGAATTTTTACTCCTTTAAGAATTTAATCGTTTTTTTTTTTTGTAGCGGTTACCTATTTCGACAAACCCGGGTTTTTGGTACGGGTTACCAATTCTGGGGAAAGCGGAGTGGCCATGCGCATTTTATTTTATTATGATTATATCAAAATTGAAATCGGTTTTTTATCGGTTACCTGTTTTGAAAAATCCGAATCTTTAGTACCGGTTACCAATTTCGTAAAAAGAGTTATCTATATGTATATCATTTCGATAATTGTTAAACTATGCGATATAGTTTTTATTTTTTGGAAATTCTGTAATATGAGTAGTGGGCGTGGTTATAAACCGATTTCAAAATTCTTATAGCAAAGCCCCGCTATCGCGTCTAGTATTTGGATAGAATTCTCAAAAGAGATTAAAATTTGTACCATTAAAGCATTGTGTAAAAGCGTAAGTCATGAAAATCTAGCTGATACCTTTGCTGAAGCTTTATTCTCTATTTAAGTATTATTTTTAAGAATAAGACTATCCGACATCTTTTTAGCAATCAGAAAGAAAGTATTAACTGCATAAAGGATAATTTTTTTTGAAGGTATATGTATATCTATTGCAGGAATATGTTTTCAGATTGTCAGTGTGACCTGAAGAGAACTCGACTCTATCCGAGAGCTCGACAGATATGCTTGTCAAGGCTTTTACCACTGCTTGTAAAGCCTTGTTGAGCCTTCTGCTGAAGAGCCGAGCTTCCAGTTCCTAGGTCGTTTAGCAGATTGGGAGCTTTATAAAGCAAGATTCGGAACTTGTGAGTTCGATATTAAGAAGGCTAAGAGGTAAGTATGTGCGCTTCCAAAAACTACTGCTTTCTTGGGACATTTGAGAGACAAGACGAGAAACTCGACAATGAGTAGCGAAAAGTCATTTAAGCTGCCCTTCGATGGCCATTTTCCATGCAACAGAGCCCGAGAATAAGCTTTAAATTTGCGGCGATAATCTAGCAGACTTGTCATCCAGCATTAAATCGAGGGCTGTATAATTGGTTGGCCTTCAAAGACGGCTTACAAACTCGGTAAATTACCTAAAGCTGCTCCGTCAGTATCTATACCTCTGGCTTGTGGTCTGTGGCGATATCTCCCGAGCTTGGAGTGTAGTATTTGTGAATTTTATACCGTAGATCGGCAAAAGCTTCCACATCTCTCCCAAGGCTTTCAGACCAATCGGTATATCTAAGTCTCTGTTTAAAACCCAAGATAGGCTGATTGATCTGATTATTAGAAATAGTATTTCTCGCAATTGCCTGTGGGGTTATCAACATACAACATTCAGGCAGGTCGATAGAGGAAGCCCTCAGAATATAGGCGATGATTTTAACTATGTAATTCGGAGGAAAACGTCAGATCTCTAGGTAAGCAGCTGTCGAAACCGAGCTAGTTACCCTTATTTACCGTATGCTTTGCGATAGAACCGTCGCGGTGGAGTGGGGTAAAAGCGGCACACAACGGGGCAGTCTTCTCTCAACTTTGCTTTGGATTGTTGTCTTAAACGATCTTCCATCACAGATTGTGATAATTTGATTCATATGCACTTGAATCTGGTAACTAAGTGATCTGCAAACATTTAGCTCGCTGTAACTTCTTGTAAGACGTAACTCATCTCATTCACTAGGAAGTAATGCGAGCTGAGGCGTATCCAGGTAAAGTATGCCATTCGATTTTATTTAACTTTGCAAGAGTCTATATAAATGGTAGATATTGTTTGTGAGCAGTTCTATAAACTTCCTCAAGAAGTGTCGTAAAGTGCAAGACAGCTTTAATTATGCTACATATTGGCACAGGCGTACTGGGTTCCGAGGCATACCGGTATCCCGGGCAATGAGCATGTCGACAGGCTAGCAAAATAAAGCACTTTATCAGAAAGTACGCCGATGGATGTAATTGCGATGATCCAGAAGGCGCAAAGTTGCAAGGTGTATAGAATTATGTGTAGTGTGTATGACATTAAGCTGAAGAGGACTAAGGACTGCCAAAGAGCGGAAGCGGTTATGGGGAGTTGCCTTCATTGGAATTACTGCCACCATGGTACAGTATAGTAGGTTTTTGAAAAATAATTTTGAAATAATGCTTTGCAAATCTGTACACCCCATCTCTAATATGGAATTTTTTCTCAAATAGATTAGTAACAGCTGTCAACCACCAAAAAGTTTATTTCAAAGTTTTGCCACATGTGTCTGCATTTGTGGTCACAGCGGATTTGGGGAAATAAGTTTTTGCTTAAGAAATCAATAAAGTCTGTACACGCTTCTATAAAGCTACATATGCATATGTATGTGTCTTTCAATGAAAATTGTATTTTGGCACGACATTGAATTGCTTTCAGTCAATTTATTTAATTAAAACTAACTCTAGCATTTCACTCGGTCCACCAATTATCCTTCAACTGCCTGTTTCTGTGACTTCTTTAACGGCCTTCACTGCTACTACTGTCCACATTACAAAACGCTCGTTATTGGTTTTTATTTTGATTATCCTTCTTCTAAGATGGTTGGTTCGGTGAAGTAAAAAAAAAATTAAATTAAAATATTTCATGCTGTGAGTTGCTTTGGAGGAGAGAGCTAAAAAGAGCGCGCCTATAAACGCGAAATAGCGAAAAATATGACGCATGCGCAGTATGACCTCGCGAGCTCTTCAATACTCTTTGTTGTCTAAAATTAAAATATTCTAAAGAGCATACTCATATTTGAGCACCTTCCTCGCCGTTATATTTTCGACCTTGTTTCTAATAAAAGCGAAAATATTTTAGAGCGAATTTTCTTGATAGCACATGTTGCTCGCTCCAAATAAATAGAAAAAAAACTAATAAGGATTTTTTGACATGTCTGATTGTCCATTTATTATTGACTTGAAAATTGGTTTGTAAAAATTGAACTTCTCTGAAATATACCAAATATGTTGTTGATTGTAGTCATAGACGCAAAAATTGTATCGTTAGAGGGTCTATGCTTACAGAGCTCAGTCTCGAAACGAACGAAATTTTACCGACCAAATAGTATTTTAGTACCTTGACAAATTTTGGACAGGTCGATCTTTGCTGATAGCACAAACATTTTCTTTCATAAACATTTTCAATTAATTGCAGTGTAAACACGACTTGAGTAGAAAAGATAAATATAGATAAAGAAAAGCGTTTTTTATTTTAAGTCGAAATATAAATAACCTGCGTTTGAAAGTAAACAGCTCTGCAATTTTTCTCGATTTTTCCCTGAATAGCGCCTGATTCGGATCCTTTATACCTCCGCCACCAACGATCCGGGGAACCGAATCCTGGATCTGTCGCATGGCACTCCAGTGCTTTGCGCACTCGGCCATTGTGACTGTTGGAGCAGTGCTAGTAAAATTATACATATGCACATACTTATACATTTCCATTTGGGACCTGCTCAAGTGCTTTCTATCAAAAGAGCTTTTCACTGTCAAAATGTGCAAGGGAGCTTTTTTTTGTAAGACTTTCGTGTCATGCTTGTCAGCGTGTAGACTTCTATGTATGCAATTTAGATATGTAGACTGGCCCAGTTTAAAAATTCTTTTAGTACATCACTGGCTCAGATCAGTCACGACCAAACATAAATATCCCGCAAAGGAAGATTTTGAAAGCACATAGGCTGAAAGCTCTCTGTGGTCTGTACTGGCTTAACTCCGTGTGGCTTTTATTCTGTGTCCGTCTTAACAAAAGGTATTGAAAACTTAAAAAAGCTCAGCACTCATGCCCACTAATGACGTGGCCAACTCTGGTCTGGACCCATTATAATCTCTATAAAGATATAGCCAATCAGAGGCAAGTTAATTATTTATCTAAAATGAGGCATTGCGCATAAACGTTAATTGACTTAAGTAATTCTCTTAGAACAATCGAATTCAATACATATTTAAGCAAACGAATAAATCAAAAACAAATATTTTCCATTTAAACACCTACTTCCTGGACGCATTCAATTTCCTCAAACGTTTGCGTTGTACGTAAGACTTAAGAAATGTCAAATCCATCATTATGCAAGCAGCACTTGATGTAGTCACGTCGCCGTCTTCAACGCTGCTGGCAACCGGATATTAAATTTCCTTAACGGAAATTCATTCAAATGCAAAATCGCGCAGCGTCTGCATTCACTCTTAAATTTCCACACAAATGTCGGTCGGTCAGTCTCCGGAGTAGCCACGTCTGCTGCGCGTTGTACGCCGTCAATACTAAATACATAAAAGCAAGCCAATTGGAAAATCAAAACAAACCTCCAACACATGCAAAGACTGCGGCGAAAATGTGGAGCTATGTACATAGCTGTGGGACAGTGGCCATGGCTAGACAAGCAACCAGCTGGTTATATCGTCGACTCTTTGCCTGCCTTGTTTCAGTCAGTTGGCGAACGTACGCCAAACCGGTCGGTTGTAGTTTGTGCTTCGGAAAGCAGAACCGTTGTTACTGTGGCACATTTATTGGTGTGTGGAAAACGTGACGTTACGGCAGTTCGTGGCAGTGAAAACTACGAACGGAAATGTGCTACAACTACAACACGCGCGTGTGGGTATGTGTGTCTGTGTGAAGAAAAAATAGAATATTTACATGAATACGTGCAACAGCTGACTAGGTCATTGGCCTGCGGCGTCGGGCACTCGGAAGCCAACTAACCTAATAATATTGATTTTCGAGAAAGAGTGTGCGGTGACGTTTTTTTGACACTGTTAAATGTGCATACATATCTACATATGTGTGTGCATTTTTAGTTACATTAAATTCGGTTTGTACGGTTTGGTTTGCGTGAAAATTTAATATTGGCCAACACGATTTTGGTTCCCTCTGCCCGGCGGCAATTGGCAAGGCGGCTTTATAGTGAATGGCCATTGTGGGAGATCGTGTAATGTGAATTTTTAGTCGCGCGTTGCAACCAACACTTATCGACGTAGAATGAAATTTCGTTTGCGCCTTTACGCCACTTTGAATTAGCGGTTGTTCGATAAAATGCTGCGTTTATATTTTCGCGCTTTCATAGTTTTTTTCCATGGCTGCGAATATAGATTAACGTTGCTTAACTAATACCTCTCGCCGCCACCTACCGCGCCCCAGTTAAGCACACTCATTATGTGCTTGTACATGAGTGTGCCGCGTTGGATTAGCCTGGAACGTTTTGCCGGTGCAGTCTATGATGGTGCCTCGCGTCTAATTGAAGTGTCGCTGGTGTTATTTCTGCTCAACTGCCACAATAGCACTAAAGTGGCCACCGCTGCAGCGGCAGCTACACGTGGAAAGAGTGTTGAAGCGGCCACAAGTGCCAACGTTAATAGTGCCTCCCCTGAGTCCGCTACGATTAGTGAATTGTTTGTGGATAATATTCCCACCAAGTCGTTGACAACGAATGCATCGACCACGGCGAGCAACGTGGTTGTGTTAGCGCAACCAAAAGTGTAGTGCATTGGAAGGTTTCTCTTTAGTGAAAAATTAAATTGAAAATTAAAGCGAAAAGAGGCAGCAAAGAAAGAAATTGTAAGTGGTCGAGTTGGAAATTAGAAAAAAGCCCTTCATAAAAAAAGCAGCGTGCAATGGTGAAGTTAGCCAATACACAGACAAATGTGTTCGCGGTGATCTGAGATAATAAAATAATCCGAAAAAATTTGAAAACAAAAAATAAGGCTAATCTATATCTTGCTACTTACAACAATGCAAAGAAGTCTCAAACAAATTTTAAAAAATAAAATCCTCCAGCACTAAAATACATAGATACAAATTATATAGCAAAATTTTTAATGTGCAATAGTGATAAGTAGTGCTCAAAAATTTATTTTTGAAAATGAATATATGTATGTAAATATACATGTACATAAAAGTGGAAAATAAATTGGTGTTTATAAATAAGTAAGATAATCTCGCAAAGTGTGTGATACAATTTTTTAGGCTGTATTTGGATTATAATCAGCAGCTGTGAGGTAAATATAAAATCAGTTGTAATAGATTTTCACGTAAGCTATTTAAGTGAAAAATTATTATTATTTTTAATTTAATATGAAAACTGTTGTGGCCATACGTCGTTTTTTTTTTGTACTTACAAAAGTAAAGTTTTTGTCCTTGGACATTTCCGATATACGCTTTAGTTATTATTTTTTTCTTAAAAATGATATTTGAATATGCTTTTAAAATTTTAGCCGTATTTGGCTGTGCTAAGATTATTAAAAATGTGTAAAATGAAGAGTTCAGAGTTTAATGTGGCAATTTCATTTTGCGATTTTTTTGCGTCTTCGGAGAAAATTGCTTTTTTTTTGTAGGTATTCGTTATACTGCCAGTAGTGAACTATTTGCAATTTGGAGGGAAGAACTCAGTAAAGAGAGGAAACACAAAGCTGTTTAAGATTTTGTTGCTGCTCCTTTGCACTTTTCAGCAGACAAATTAGAAATAAGAGAGCATTCAGGTTTTCAATTAAAATTAATATATGTAATTTGGCAATGTTTTTTTTTAAATTAACCTCTCTATAAATTGCATTTGTAACTAGGTAAAATTTTTATTTTATACAAAATAAATATTAAAAAAACACTGCATTCAAACTTTTTCAATAAAACCACCAATTAAAAAGTAATCCATCGGTCGTCAAGGGTTAAGACTTTTTTTTCTGGAAAAATGTAGATATCGAATTCCAATCAATAAAAAAATGATGTCTTCTTAAATAATATACATACTTGTTTAGCCATAATTAATTTTGGCCAATAAAACAGCTTTCTCTGTTTATTTTCTTAACATTCGGCTATCTTACAAAAATTTTCAGCCATACACCAGGTCTGTTAAGTTTTAATACATTTGCATTATAGTAACTCACCGTCGACATACGAGACTGTTTTACACTAATGTGATTGCAACTTGCGCTCGATTTCATCAAAAATTTCGTGATTTTTTAAGTCGCTTCAAAGTCGCTTTACTTCTAATATCCATTCATTCAATTTAACACTTTTTGCATTACTTCCATGCATGAATTATGGTCGATTTCATGCGTAACAGTGCTTACGTGTACTTGATATTAGGTTTCCTCGAAAAGCGGTACCATAAATAATATCACGACCGTGACATAGGGAATGCTAT